GAAGCCAATGGTTAATGGGAATAGAAGCAGATAAAAACAATATTTCTGGATAGAAGGAATACAGGGTAGGAATTTGAAAGAGGTGATCAGTATTTTAATGAGATCTAAAGCTGGTTGTCTGAGAACTCTGGTGGCTAGAAGTAGAGAAGAGAGTGAAAACATGAGAAATACATAGAAATTATACATTTTAAACGAAGAAAAAGTGATCTGTCCAGGGAATTTTGAGCTTCAACAGAATAGGGGGAGAAATGGGCAAGGAAATCCCAAAAGGACCAAGAGAGTCATGGGGGAGGAATGGAATGGGAGGAATAATGAAAGCTGGATAAAGAGCCACATTGTAGAACCAAGGAGAAAAAAATATCCAAAAATTAGAGATAAGAGACTAGGGATGGTGATAGCAGGAAGGACCAGAACTGGCAGCCAATAAATGGAATAAATGGATGTATCAGCCAAGACCTGGATAATGTGGAAATGTGGAAGAGCCAAGCAAAGTGAGGAGAAAAGTAAGAGAAATTTGGGGGGAAATGTGAGGAAAAATTAAGGGAGAACAGGCACAAAATTCTGTGCATGCAGTAGTGGTGAGAAAGGGGAAAATCCCACCTTGCTGATTACTGTGGACACGATAACACAGAATTACACAAAGGGATGGGGGGAATCAGGGGCTGGGCACAGGGAGAGGCTGCCAGGCTCTGGATTAACCAGTGCTTCAAGGAGCTCTTGGAATTACGGAATTACTGCTGGAATTTGTCATCTCAGGGCTCAACAGCTGCAAGAAAGCTCCACAGGTGGGAGCTGGCAATAAAGGAGTGCTAAGGTGAGTGAAATCTCATATGAGGTGAGGAGGAAGATATCAGCACAGGCTGACGTCTGTCCTCTGATTAGTGATTAAACATTAATAGCAACCAGAAATCACTGAGCAGAGAGGCTCAGGCTGGTCTGGGCTGGGAGGGATCTTGAAGCCCATCCCTGCCTGGGCAGGGACATTCCCACCCCAAGAGGTTGCTCCAAGCCCTGTCCAAGCTGATCTTGGCTCCCCACGCCCACTGGGATTCAGGCCTCACTTGCAGAACACAAGTGGAGAAAAGAATGAACTTTTTAATAAGTGAAAATAATGGATTTAGAAATAAGAGGGGTGTGTGAGGTAACACAAGCCTGATGGTTTGGTGAAAAATAAGGGAATTAACATGACCTTTTCTCATAAAACAAATTACCCAATTGAATTGCCAGTGAGACAAATCCTTGTAGCTCATTTTTCAGGAACTGAGATGTTGAAGAATCACAGAACCACAGAATGGTTTGGGTTGGAAGGGACCCCAAAGATCATTTGGTTCCAGCCCTGGCAGGGACATCTCCTGCTGGGAATGCAGTTCTGTACCCATGATTCACATGAGCAGCTTTTGCTGCTCCTGCACAGGATGAAACCTGCAGGGCTGGGTGCTGGTGCTGGCCCTGGCAGTGCTGGGTTCCACTCCATGATCCCAGAGGGCTTTTCCAGCCCTAACAATTCCCTGATTCTGTGATTCCCACGGGCTGTGCAGGAAACCAGCCTGATGAAATCCCTGCTGTGCTCTGAGCTCCAGTTCCCAGAGAGAGCTGCAAACACAGCCCTCAGTCTTTGGGTTCTGCAGAGCAAAATTAGATCTCCACTCCTGGCTCATGGCTTCCTTTATTTGCCATCCTTTCCAGATTATTTTTATTTTCTTATATTAAAATATAATTAAATTTAAATTTATTAAATTTAATTATATTTCAAATTATTATTATTATTATTATTATTATTATTATTATTATTATTATTATTATTATTATTATTATTATTATTATTATTATTATTTTATCCAACCCAGGCCATTCTGTGTCTTTATTTTCATTTGTGCCCCCACCCCTTCTTCCCCAGGGATACAACCTCCTGCTGTCCAACCAAACCAACCCCCAGAAATCACAAATCTCAGCCAGTAGGGACAAAATGAAGGGTTTGTGCCCTCATTTATCCCCCTTTTCCCCTCTGCAGTGCTCTACACACCAGGCTAAACAAGTTTGGGGTGTCCCTGGGGCAGAAGATCTGTGGGAAGGTCTCCAGTGCAGCCCTCCTGCCCCTCCTGATCCTGTTTCAGCAGGATCTTGGTTCTTCTCCTGTTTCCAACAATCCACAGCCTCCTTCCCTGCAGGAGCTGGTCCAAGCTGCTGTGCTGGGACCTGAGGATTTGTCACATCAGCTTTAAAGGAAAATAGGAAGTCCTCTCTCTATTTGGAGAAATAACTGCAGGTTTAAAAGAAACCCCTGCAGTGCTGGAGTGAGGAAATCCCATTTCCCGACTTCAAGGCAGCAGGAAGAGCCTTAGTGAGGGATTCTAACTTTGGAATTTGCTCTGGATGCAGAATTTTGTCCTGAGGTAGACAAAATAGTGGATGTAAGGATTCCTGTTCTACACCCTCACCATTTTCCTGTCAAATGAAGTAGGAATTTATGCACCTCATTATAGTTTTCTAACATCAATTCTAGATTTAGACTCCAAATTCCAGGGCTGAGGATACAGATTTGGTGCACTGAGAGTCTTGGTGGAACTTGCTGACTTGAGGACTCCATAAATAAAAATAGAGAAAATAGTTACAAATAGGAGGGGAAAATGTAAAATCTCTGATATGGATTTGCATTTCCATGACAGACCTGGGGGTGCTCAGCCTGGAGCAGAGGAGGCTCAGGGGGCCCTTGTGGCTCTGCACAGCTCCTGCCAGGAGGGGACAGCCAGGGGGGATTGGGCTCTGCTCTAGGAACAGGGACAGGAGGGAAGGGGAGGGGAGGGTTGGATGTGGGGGTCCCAGCTGTGGGTTCCTCTGGGTCTGCATTGAGGGCACTGAGACAGGAGTTCATGTTCACACTCAGGTGTTTATTATTTCTTATCAGTAAAACAGTCTCACTGCTGGGAGTTCTGCAGCTTTTCATTAGAAGGCACAAAATGGCCACAATCTCTTGGTACAAGGGTTTTTCAGACTAAACTGTCCAGTTAAGAGCTGACACATGGATTATTTTCCCTTTTATAACCCAATAACTGATCCCAAAGAGCTGCAATGGGGACTTTTCTGCCCAATTACAAAATGCCACCAAACCCATGGGGAAGGAGGAAGAAGCAGCATGAAGAAACCCAGGACAACACCCTGTGCCCTCCATCTTGCTGCCATCCACAACACACTAAAAACCCCAAAACCTCAATTTCTCACCCAGTGACACACCTGCACTGCTCTCTAGAATCTATTTCACACTTTTGTGGGTTCCAGTCTATCCTGGAGTTTAGGAAACTTTCTCCATGAATGAGGGTCAGAGTCAGCGCTCCCAGAGCAGACACAGAAATATTCCCAGAGCCCTGGGTTTGCACAGTTGGACATCAAGAGAAGTTTCCTCATGGAAAGTGTGGTCAGGAATAGGCAGGGGCTGCCCAGGGCAGTGGTGGATCCCCATCCCTGGAGGTGTCCAAGGAAGGTCTGGGGGTGACACTCAGTGCTCTGGGCTGGGGACAAGAGAGGGATCAGGCACAGGGGGACTCGGTGATCCTGGAGGGCTTTTGCAACCCAAAGAGTTCTGTGATTCTCTGACTACAAATTGATTTTATGTGGTATTTTCAGGGTCCCCAGGACGAAGGAGGAATTGAGAATCTGACTCCATGTTCTTAGAGGCATATTATATATTATTATTATATTATATATTATTATATTATTATGTTATGTTATGTTGTTATGTTATGTTATATTATATTCTGCTATACTAAAGAATAGAGAAAGGATCTTACAGAAGGCTTAACAAGATAATAATGAAAAACTCATGACTTGTCAGAGTCCCAACACAGTTGGACTGTGATTGGTCACTAAGTACAAACAATTCACATGAAATCAATCAAATATTCACCTGTTGGATAAACAATGTCCAAACCACATTCCAAAGCAGCAAAACACAGGAGAAGCAATGAGATAATTATTGTTTTCATTTTTCTCTGAGGCTTCTCAGCTTCCCAGGAGAAGAAATCCTGGGAAAGGGATTTTTCAGAAAATGTGACAGTTTTAAGTTCAGGACATTGTTAAAAGATACATTTTATTCAGGGAAGCTGCAGACATGAAATGCCTTATATGGGGAAAAAGCAAGGAGGCAAGAAGAGTATCCTGAAACAAAATCCACCCCAAAACCCAGCAATAACGAACAAATAAACAATAATATCCAAATTATTATTAGTTTTTTTATTGCTTGTAAAGCATATAAACATGGACAGATAATTTCTTCACAATCTTGCCACCAATAAATAAAACATGCAATGCTTTCATTTCACTGTGATTCTAGCACTGCACTTCAGAATTATTTTCTCTCAAAGAGAGTTTAGAGAACCTTGATATCCAGCCAGAGAAGAAGTGTTCCTGTGCTCCTCTACACCCATTCCCCAAATCAACAACAATCAGTACAAGGAACAGGCTGGTTTCTGGCTGCCAGAGTGTTCCTAAACACCAGGAATTCAGCTCCAGTTATTTGGTGCAGTTCTGCTACAAACTCAGAGGTGTCACCTGCAGACAGGGGGAAAGGAAAGGGATCCAACCCACTGGGAAGGAGGGACTGGGAAAGGGAATAACCCAGTGGTGTTGTGTGTAGGGAAGGCCAAATCACAGGCAGATATTAATGATTGGATACTACTTATTGGACATTAAAAATTAGCCATTAAAAAGGCTGCAGGGGATGCTGAGTTTCACCCAGTGTGTTCAAACCCAGGCAAAACAGTGGGAAATGAAACCCAGGGCATTTCCATTCCAGTGTCACCCAACTCCTGCAGCACTGGAGGCTCTCAGAGGAGTCCCAGCCTCCTTGCTGGCAGATCTGCTCTGATCCAGGACTGCAGGAACCTCCCCACGAGCTGGCAGCTCCGTTTGGCTGCAGTGGGAGATGAAGCCCAGGAATATTGATTGGTGAAAGGACATGATCTTGCCACAGGAATGCACAAACTTCCCAGCTGGACTTGTCTTGTGTGGGTTTTTCCACCTTCTCAGAAGCAGCCAGCACAGGCAGCATTGGCACAGATCTCACACAGGTCATCCTCAGCAGCCAGGACTGTCCAGGAGAAAAAGGGATTCAGTTGGATGCCAGGAGGGCAGAGCCACCTGCCAAAGCACTTGGAGACTCCTTTGCATTCCTGCTTTTTCATTTGAAAGATCCTTGTGGGTAGAACTGCTCTGAGTAAAATTAGCTCGTGCTGAAATCTGACTGAAGGGATGAAATCAAACCTGAATGCCTTGGGAAGCCATGGGAAGCAAGAGGGCAACAGGATATGGCAGCATTTTATCCTAAATTGTCCCTTGTACTGGACAGCAGATAACTGCAAGAGAATTACTTTTAAAAGCTTGAGTTATTTGGTGCAGTTCTGCTACAAACTCAGAGGTGTCACCTGCAGACAGGGGGAAAGGAAAGAGATCCAACCCACTGGGAAGGAGGGACTGGGAAAGGGAATAACCCAGTGGTGTTGTGTGTAGGGGAGGCCAAATCACAGGCAGATATTAATGATTGGATAGTACTTATTTTAAAAGAGAAGAGCCACCTGCCAAAGCATTTGGAGACTCCTTTGCATTCCTGCTTTTTCATTTGAAAGATCCTTGTAGGTAGAACTGCTCTGAGTAAAATTAGCTCGTGCTAAAATCTGACTGAAGGGATGAAATCAAACCTGAAATCCTTGGGAAGCCATGGGAAGCAAGAGGACAAGAGGATATGGCAGCATTTTATCCTAAATTGTCCCTTGTACTGGACAGCAGATAACTGCAAGAGAATTACTTAAAAGAGCAAACCCTGCAGCAGCAGCAGCCCATGGCAGAGGGACTTTGGGCAAGGAGGAATGGCTTAAGCTGGAGAAGGGGAGATTTAGATGAGATATTGGGAGGAAAATCCTCCCTGTGGAGGGGCTGAGGCCCTGGCACAGGTGCCCAGAGCAGCTGGGGCTGCCCCTGCATCCCTGGCAGTGCCCAAGGCCAGGTTGGACAGGGCTGGGAGCAGCCTGGGACAGGGGAAGGTGTCCCTGCCATGGCAGGGGTGGGATGGGATGAGCTTTAAGGTCCCCCCCACCAAACTATTCAGGGATTCCATTATTCTGCTTTGGATGAACTTTTCCCTGCTCACAGCAGTGGGATGTGCCCAGGGAACAGCTCAGCTCAGCACTGCAGGAATTTTCCTTGGCTGGTTCATGGAGCCCAAGCCTTGCAGGAGAAAGGGCAGCACAAAGGCAGCACAAACCCTCCCAGCTGCCCTAGAAGTGACACAGAAGCAGTTCCATGGCTTTGCCTCCTGCTGTTGGAATATTCAAGCTTAAAAATCGTGGTAAAAATGAAAAAAACAATGAAATATGAACGACATACTCAGCCTCCTGAAAATCATGGGTGCATCTTCCCTCTTGCACACAGGCCTGAACTCCTCAGGCAGGTGTTTCTCCTGGCATGGGGAGTAGCTGCCCATGGGCACCATCATGCGAGGGTTGATGTGTTTGTTGCCCTCCATGAGCTCTTTCAGCTTCTTCACAGACTCCAGGGGGAATTTAAAGTCTCCATCCTGTGAAGAACCAGAAAAAAGAAGTGTCAACAAGCCAGGCCTTTTGCAAATCCGCTCCATTTCAACCATTTCTCCCAAAAAAATACAGCAGAGGGGAAAGATGGTGTTGAAAGAAAGCCAAGATAAAACCTGAGTGAAGGCAGTGGACAGAGGGAGAAGGAGAATTCAGTCCTGGCTCATGCCCATGAGAAAGACCCATAAAGTCTGGGATAGGAAGATCCAGGCTGGGAATCTTCAGCCTCAAAAGAGAAAACTGGGAAATCTCACAGAACCCTGGAATGGATTGGGTTGGAAGGGACCTTAAACTCTTCTCATTCCAGCCCCTGCCATGGACAGGGACCCTTCCACTGTCCCAGGCTGCTGCAAGCTCAATCCAGCACCTCCAGGGATAGGAGGTAGAGATCTACAAAGCCATGGCTGGAGTGGGGATAAATGGGGATTTATTTGGTTCACTGTTCTCCTAACACAGCAGTGGAAATGTCAGTGTTGGCTGTGACCACACAGAAGCAGCTCTTCTATCACACCACACATTGCTGGGGGCTTAAACCCTTCCCCCCAAGACATTGTGGCAAGTTTCCATTCATTTAGAATCACAGAATCTCTTGTGTTGGAAGGGATCCACAGGGATCACTGATTCCAGCTTCTGGCCCTGCACAGAGGCCCAGCAATCCCACCCCATGCCCATTGAAAACTTGCTCACACAATCTGTAAAAAACAAGTTTTTGGAAGCATAAATATAACACTTCTGACTCAAAGTTCACATCAGAAACTTAAGGAAGCTGGGACAGGACTCTGAGAAATGGTAGTCTATGTTTTAGTTGCTTCTCCCTGTTCATCAGTTAAGGGTCATTCCCTCAGTTTCGAGAGATTTCCCCTTTTTGAGGTCATAAATTTAAGTTGCAGCTGTTTAACCAAGTGCACAGAGTCTGTACCCATCTGCAGATAATCAGAGTTTGGCCTAGAAAACAAATAAGCATTTTCAAACTGATTTATATCTGCTGTTTTAACATGGTTTCATGGCCATCACGTGGTCAGTAAGGTGATGTGGGAGGGTTTGGAATGAGATGAGTTTTAATGTCCCTTTCAACCCAAACCATCCTGGGATTCTGGAGTCAGGTAAGAGCTCCTCATCCAAAGAAATGAAATGCAGTGACTGATACAGCACAAGACCAAATATTAGCATTTGTTTCACATCCCCATGAGTCCAGTGGGGAATGGTGTGAGATGAGTGCGGAGGGGATTTGATTCTGGCTGGGTTTTTGGAGGGTTTTGTACAGTACCACATTATTTTGGTGTTCAAAGTTTAAAAAACCCCATCAGGCAGACTTTGGGTGCGTATTTACTACGTCAAAATCTCTTCCCTTGCAATCAGTTTATGATCTTACTCAGGTTAATTTATCAGTTGACCTCAAGGATCTTAGAGATCTTTTCTGACCTTAAGGGTCTATAAAAGTTAACCAGGCACTGGCATCAGCAGCCCATGGGAGTGGTGGAGCCACCATCCCTGGAAGTGCTCCAAAAACACCTGGATGTGACAGGGGCCAAGGTGGATCTCTCTGTGCTGGGGGAACAGTTGGATTAAATAATCTTAAAGGGATTTTCCAGCCTAAACAACTTTGTGGTTCTGTGATCAGCCCTGGCTGCCCATGAAAAATTCACTTTTCCTATAAAGGCAGCTCTAGATTGAGCTGTGGTCACACAACTGAGAAGAAAACCCCTAGAACTGAAAAAGGGTGGATTTCCACAGGCACAATTTCAGGGAAACCAGGAACTGGGAAGAAACCCTGACATCTGCAGGTCCTGGGGACAAAAAAGAATAAAGGAACAGCAAAATAGAGCCAAAACCACCTAAAGTAAGAAAGATGGATTAGAGAGAGCTAAATTTGATACTCTGGGACAAGGAAGGGAAGTCTCAGGAACAATTTCAGGGAAGAAGAGTGCAAGCCAACTTTGTGCAATGAATAATCAAAGAATCTTCAAAACCTCAAAGACTTCAGGTGAAAGGAGTGCAAGACTCAGAGTTCACTGCAAGTACAGTGGGTAAAACATGGATTTAATGATTAATGAGAGGAGAATTCCAGCTCAGACTCCAGAGATGCACTTTCTACTCTTTTACATAACCTAGAAGCAGCCATTCTCATTCACTAATATTTTTTTATGGCTACAAGTGTAAAATGGGGATGTTTTTCACTGGGTAGGAAGCTGTTTGCTCCTCTGGAGACTGTAAATGTTGAAGAATGGTTTGAGAGAAAGGAACAGTTTAAACCTTCTACCTCTGGATATCTCTGTCATCCAAAGGACAAAAACAAGGATAGTCCAGGACACAAAGATACCTTATTCCTGGACACCTGCTGCTCACACCTAAAGAGAGTCAATAATTGTTTAACAAGTGTTAGTTTTTATTAGTTTTCCTGGTCCCCAGAGGAAGGTGTTTACATTGCAATCAGACTGAAATCTCCTCTCAGGAGGAGTGCAGAGAGATCCAAAGCTTTCCCAATAACAAACCAGGGCCCTGAAGTACCTTCCTAACCCCTTCCACATTGTATGGAGTGCCATGGTTTGACACTCCAAAAACTCCCAAAAAAACTCAAAAACTTCCTTTTCAAACCAGGACATGGAGTATCAGCCATGGGTGCTGTGTACTTGGAAAATTTCACAGGGGCTCCTTTAATCACTTCTCTGCCTATTAATATTTAATTGGACCCAGCCAAGCTCTTCTTTGCCCTTTTTTTTTACAGGCTCCATCCCATAAACTCACAGATCATCCCCACAAAGAACTTCCTGCCTAGAGCCAGGTGACACAAGATAATTTCTCCTTTGTTCACACCTTGTTTGCATCACTCTCTAAAGTCATTGCACATGGCTTTAGGTCTAGGAGAAAATTCTGGGCATGAAATACCTCAGTCCCTAAGGGATTTCAGAGCAGAGATATGGCTGGAGAAGGTAAATAAACAGCAGCAGCATTTAGTGATACCTGAAGTGCTTTACAGAAGGAAAACCCAGGGCATGGGGAGATACAGGTGGAAATCAAGGCAGAGCAAAGCAAAAATTCAGGTCTATTAATTTAGTTCAAGATCCCTGTTGCAACCAGAAGTTAAAAAAATATCATCACTTTGCTAAATTTGTAATAATGACAAATGAAAGAGAAAAAACTCACCTGCACATAGACTGCCTGGGAGATGTGCACCAGGACAAGGCCTGCCAGGACTGCCCAGGAAAGAAAGCTTTTCATGGTGCCTGCAGAGCCAAGCCTCCCTGAACTGGACAGGTTTTATTTCCTCTGCCTTTGGCCTTTTTTGTGTCTCTCAGACTTTCCCTCTTCCCCTGAGCTCTCAGCAGTCAGAGCTTTATAAAGACTCCCTGCAGCATGGTGCTGGTAATCCATTAATCCAGACTTTCTATTGCCATATCATAAACCCTGAGGGGACTCTCAGTTATCTGCCCAGAGGTACAGCTGGGCAGTCACACCCAGGCACATCCTGGCCTTTATGAGTCGCTCCCACTTTGAGGCACTGGCCGTGACACCGGCAGGCAAAGCATTCCCAGCTGCAATAAATAAATAAATGGTGGAGGGAGAGCTGAGGCAACACCTGAGAGTCCCCATGATTCTGGCCACTTTCTGCAGAACTGGGAGTAAAAAAAAAAGAAGTTTGGAAGGAGATAGAAAAAAGCTGTTCCAGTCAGTTGCCTCTTCTGGGAGTCCCAGAAACAAGGAGGGTGATCACATAATCAGGGGATTGTTAAAGTCAGAGAAGCCCTCTAAGGTTGTTGATGTGGATGTGACACCAGGGAACAAGGTGGATCTCTCTGTGCTGGAGGAACAGTTGGATTTCATGATCTTAAAGGGATTTTCCAACCAAAACAACTTTCTGATTCTGTGAAGCCCTCTAAGATTGCTGAGTCCAACCATCAACCCAGGATCTGGGGTAGGTTGTTCACCATTAACCTTGTCCCCAAATGCCACATCAAAAAATGCCTTTTTTCAACATTTCCAGGCATGGTGACTTCACCACTGGCCTGGGCAGCCCCTTTCAGTGCCTGCCCACCCTTTCCACAGAGAGATTTTCCCAACATCCAACCTAAAGCTCCCCTGGCACAGCCTGAGGCCATGTGGCATTCACATTTTCTGGAAAAAATCCCTTTGCTTAGGATTTTTCTCCTGAGAAGCTGAAAAGGAAGAGAAAAAGGAAAACAATAATTATCTGATTTGCTTCTCCTGTGTTTTACTCCTTCAGAATGTGTTTGGAGATTGTTTACCCACAGGTGATTGTTCCATTGGATTCTGCTGTGAGTTGTTTTGACTCAATGGCCAATTAGAGCCAAGCTGTGTCAAGACTCTGAAAAGAGCCACAAGTTTTCATTATTATCTTTTTAGCCTTGTGTAAGTATCCTTTCTGTATTCTTTAGTATAGCTTAGTTTAGTATTCTTTAATGTAATACAGCATCATAAAATAATAAATTAGCCTTCTAAAAACATTCATGAAGTCAGATCCATCATCCCTTCCTTTGTCTGGGGGGAACCCAAATACATCAAGGCCATTTCCCCTGGTCCTGTCCTTTGTGATCCCACTCCTGTCAGGCTTTGGAGAGAGCTGAGGACCAAGGCAGAGAACCCCAGGCCGTGCCTGCCCATGCCCAGCTGTAAAACATCCTTGGTGCTCTTTGCAGCCCCTAATTAAAACCCATGTGTTAAAAGGTGCAGGGGATGTCATTAAGGGCAAAAGCTGCCAGGAATCAAATCCATTTCTCTGTGACTTCCATGTGGAAACACACACAGGTGCCACAGGGATGGAGGAGCACCAGTGTGCCTCAGCTCAGTTCTGACACCAGGCTCAGGTCTGTAAATGATTTCTGGAATTGTGTGGGTTTGGATTAACACAGGCACCAGGAGAACAATGCTCCTGATCCCAGCAGAACAGGAGAGGGCAACAGTCACCCACTGAGCACCTTCCTCAATCTCAGCAGTGTTTTATGCCCCAAAGGCTCCAGTTCTTGCTGGAACCCAAATCATTGTTCGAGTGACAGTGAAAATCATCTTTCTGCTTTGTGTAAAATTGCAGAATCCAAAGCATCCAGGTCCCCGGTCAGGGGGCTTGGAGGGAGGGAATGGGACTTTTCTGATTCAGTGAAACCCAAAAATTACTGTACAGTT